ATTATGAAAGTCAGACCTGACAGGGTAGCCATAGAATACAAAAAAATATGGTGTAACCTAGGAAAAAAAAGGAGTCAGAAACTCATGGAAAGTTGAGAAAGTATCCTAAATATTGAAAAAGTATGAAATATTTTAACCCCCCATCTTAGTACCTATAGTAGTTTTGTATATTTTAACATAATCTTGGTTTGTCAATCTGTGTTATTTTATGTGGTGATAATATTCACTATATTTGTTGGTATAATTGTAAGAACTAAAAACTAAAAGTAAAGAATAATGTGTAACAATATAATAACCACAATATATCTACTATATCCAGTGCTGACAAGGCCTTTTGTACAATACTATGATTCATCAAGCTGGTGGGATACAACACAAACAGTAGTGGTTGAGACTGTTTATATTATCAAATTGCACAAACAAGAATTATATCAAAGCTTCTTTTATAAATATTTGCGCATTCCTGATGGTTAGTATATCAAACTGCGGGTCTCAGGTTTGAGATGTGGTACATTATAAGACTGGTTGCCTTCCTTTTATTCCATGGTTGAAAGTTGGGGATTAATTAAAAATCCATATACCTACATTATTGTTATCATTGATAAGTATAAATACAAAAACTTATAAATTGTGTGTTATTTAATACTTTACATTTTTTATATATAATTTTCAATAATTATGATATTGTAGGTATGGGGATTTTTAAAATTTAGCATGAAGCTAGGAACAGCTAAACCATAGAGGTCTCTGATATGCTTGTTTAGCCCATTTTATACATAATATGTTGTTCAGGTGAACAAACTGTTACAAATAAAAATTTTATATATGGTACTCTTTAATCAATTGTTTGTTTGTTTTGAATTTTGTGCAAAGTTGCACGAGGGCTATCTGTGATATCCACCCATAATTTATCAGTGATAGACTAGAGGGAAGGCAGTTAGTCATTACCACCCACTTGGGCTACTCTTTTACCAACAAATAGTGGGATTGACTGTCACATTATAATGCCCCCTTGGCTGAAAGGGTGAGCATATTTGGTGGGACGAGGATTTGAACCCACAACCTGCAGATTATGAGTGAGTTGCTCTAACCACCTGGCCATGCCAGGCCTCTCTAATTAAGTTACAGTGTTCTTGTTTAAATGTCTTTCTTGTATTATATAGTAAGTATGTTCTGAAGTTTTTATTAACCTTTAGAACCAAATGCAGTGTTGACTAAATAGAAATATGAGAAATAGTATGTAAAAATTTGCAGGAATGAAAAAATTTGAAATAATTAAGCCATTCTTACAGTTAGTAAAAAAAAGCTGCTCTCTTTTTGTAATTTTGCTAATGATGTGAATAATGTTCAACAATTGAATAATGTTGTAGTTACTTTACAAAATTAGATATTGTCAGCATTTATCTTTATATTTTATATACTTACTTAGTTGTAGCTAAGTCAGTTTAATCAGATGGCATCAAAGATGCTACTGAAAAGTAATATTAATTTTCTTCATTTTACTTGTACCTCTTAAACATGGAGTTTTGATATATGTGTATGTTCTGTTCTAGATTTAGAGAAAAATTTTGACTTAGCTGAACAGTTGGAGTCTTCTGTAAATGTTGGAAATACGTCTTTTGCCAAAATGCATGGAGATGTAGATAAAGAAAGAAAAAGTTCTCAGAAAGTCACTGAATATTCTAATGTGCTGATTACAGAAGTTCAGAGAATGAACAAGTATGTTATTTCTTTTGGAAACAATAGCAGGAAGTTTCTTATCAGTACTACACAACTAGCTTAAATAAATAATTTTGCTATAAAACACTATTAAGCATCAATAGTCACATATTATTAATCTTATAAAATTTTCTTACATCAGAACTTTACTAACAGTTGACCTTAAGCATCATGAAAAACATTCTGCAGACTTTTATATCTCTGTGGTATTGCAATTAAAACATCTTTTAAGAGATACTAATAATTAAACAATTTTTTTTTTAGATATGAAAGGATGCTTCGAAGGTCCAAAACAGAAGACCTGAGGCCAATAGAAAATATACGTTGTCTTTATCACAGTGGAGAAGATAGGTTTGGCCGTCCAGTAATAACATTTATTGGTCATCGATTTAAGTTCTCTGAAATAAATTTTGATAAAGTAAGTGATAGTAGATTCTTGTTTTACTTACATTTTGCTTTGTTTTGCTATTTATTAGTGTAAAAACATTTATAAAGAAAATTAATTTGGATTAATTTTTAGTCATTTCTAATCCCATTTCTTATTAGATTCAGAAAGACAAAAAGTACTAGGTTTTGTGCTTAAAAGTATTTAGTTGTACTATATTGTGCATATTGTAACTTTTAGCAGAATTTCTGGCTATTTACTTAAAATATAGATTTTCCAGCTGTATCTGTCATCAATAATTCTTCTCCCTGTTAAATACTTTTGCAACAGGCTTCTGTATCTTTCAGGACCTTGTAACCATGGTGGTATACATACCATAATTCTTAAAGTATTTAATGTATCTTCATGAAATTTTGCAAGCTTTCAGTAAACATTAAAAGTCTTTTGTGGACAAAAAATCAGAATTTTTAATTAAGTATTTTTACCAAAACTTTATCTGTAATTATGTGGAGTCAGAGTGTTGAATGTTCCAAGTTCACAATTTCATGTTAAGATTAAAAATACTCTTCTTTGTCAGAAAATTTTATAATTTCATTTGCATAATTCCTAAAACTGTCTAAATAATTATCAAACTTTTTTTTTTTCAGAAAAAATATTTTTCTGTTATTTTCTATCTTATAACTCTTTACGGGGTCATTTGATTTGATTGACCTTGTAACCACCATCAAAAATTAGGAAAGAAATCTAATACCTTTTTTTGTTTCTGGAATGACTACAAGTTTTAACAGAAAACCACAATTGTTTGTCACAAATAGCTTAAAGCTTGTAACAGTATACATCTATTTATAGTTAATTTTATTGTTTAATTGCTCTTTCAAATGTGTCTAACTAATATTCCTGCTACACAAGTTGTAAATCAGACACTGAACGTGCAACTCACATTACTGTATTGAATTATGTAACACACAAGCTGCTTACAAAGCATACTTCATGAGGAATTTTTATTACCATTATTGTTTTTTGTTATCTTGCCTATTATAACCTTATCTAACCTAATAAGTTTCTAATTTGTACGTTTTAGTTACTTTGATAATAAAGAATAAATAAAGAATACACATGAAAAACAAGAAATCTAGTACTCACCTGGGCCTTCTTATTTTTTGCTGTCAAATGTCGATGAAACTTAAGCTCACTTTTATACAAAAGGTACTACTACACTAAATAATTTTTATTCAGTTAAATAATGCACCTAAGAACACAGTATAATAATAAGCCAAAAGCAAACATTGTTCTATAAGTATCATAATTTTTCTGATTTTCAAACTATATGATAATAGCCAATAAAAATACAGATATGCTGGTTGATGTGTTTCCCACGGGAATAAAGTTTTGAAATGGAAGCAAAATACACAATTCTCTGTACAGAAAATAATGTAACATAACATGTCATTTGATAGATTAAAACTTTGACTTTCTATTGGTTATAAATAATGTAATATAAAATGTCAGAGAGAACTATTGGTAATCTCTGAAAGAGAGGATGTGACAAGTGGGTCTCATTTTCTAGTTTACGGTTTTATAAACAATATTGAAGACCATAAAAATTATGCTTTGCCTGAGTTAAGTAATGTCTATGTTATAATAAGTAATTTTCATTAAATTCTGTACTCGGACAGGTGGTAAATAAATTAAAGACGAGGGAAGACATTGACAGCAAATGTAACAGTTCTCATACTAGGGAAGATTGATGATATTTTTATATATTTCATTATAATATTAAGAACTTAACACTTATATAATATTCAAATTTTTATCTATTAACTAACTACATTTTGATTCCAAGTTTATTTATATACATTGAGAACAAAGTTGTTTAAATAACTTTTGAATGTAACTCTGTAAAAAGTTTTGACATGTTAACTTTGACCTACCTGACTGTCAGATTTTAAAAATAATTTATATATATATATAAGTTCTTTTTTTTTTGCCAATTGTCAAAATAAATGGCTTTTACTTATATTTCTTAATAGTATAAATATATAATATTGTTACGTATCTGCTTGTTTGTTAATTTCCTATAGAAATTCTTTCCGAGAAACTTCAGCGATACAAGTCCTTTCTTAATTAAAACTATTTTATTCTTTCTTGATACAACCTTGCAATACACAGAATTTCCAGTCACTTTAACTTAACTACTTTTATAAACACACGCTATAATTCACAGCGATTCACACACTTTACTTACGGTGCCTACTGCTCACTTGACTCAATTATCTATCTCTTCAATCTGTCTATCTATGCAATTCTGTCTTCACTTTATTTCCCGGCTTATATACTAAAAACAGAGGGCGCCTGGAACAAACTAGAGTTGCCAGGAAAATTCATGATCCTTTGAGAATCTCATCACGTGTTAGAAGCATCATGTGACTTCCGCTGTCGTAGCACTATGTTATTGTTGGTCTTAGGATTCTTCTACAGTAGGTGTCTGACTTGATAGCAATAAATTCAATGAGGAATAAACAGCACACACTTTACTTGTTTTCAAATAATATATATGTATATACGGAACAAGTCAAACGTATGTACAACAAAGTCTTCACACTATAGAGATTACAAGCATATCATAAACACTCTCTTAAGGTAGCCAAATGCCTCGTCATCTAATTAGTGACGTGCATGAATGGATTAACGAGATTCCCACTGTCCCTATCTACTATCTAGCGAAACCACAGCCAAGAGATTACAAGCATATCATAAACACTATTTATATATTGTTCTCTTCTTGTTGTCAAAAGTCTCCTTAGGTCTATTCAATTACTTTAGAATTTCAGTTGACAAGTCAAACTATCTTCTCTATATTATTATCACATTAGTATTCTGTGTGTGATTCACTTGCAGTTGTGGTGCAAGTTACCATAATTCGTTTAGTTTTCTTTTTTCTGAAGATCCTCTGTTCCCTTTGTCAAAATACACCCAGGCTGATTCAATTACTTTAGAACCACGCTTTGACAGAATAAAATTATCCTTCTATCATCTTTTATACAGTTAGTTTCACTCTAACATATTAAACATTAGGCCTATCACTTCTATGGCAGTTAACTTCACACCAACTTTATTCTCTTTGCTATTATCCGTCTGCTGCTTCCCACTCATCTCACGCTGTATATATCTTTATTACCTAATCTTCTATATTCTCAATGTCAGTATATTGCACATGACGTTCTCAACATCAAAGAATTATTAACAAAACTAAACGGTAATAAAACATTCACTCACAAAACTAAATTAATCAATAATATCTGAACAACACCAACACAAAAGGGTTAATGGTTGATACTTCTGTTATGTTCTTGTGTTTTTGAGTTTTTTAAAGCTTCCTAGTTGACTATTTTGTGTTTCATGAAACTTTTATCTATGTATACAGTACACACAAAATGCACTGCCCCGTTGTACATGGCCAGATACATAATTTTAGCCACTTTCATATATTGCATTTATGGCACTCTCCAAGAACTTTGCATCCAGAATGCTTTACAGCTATGTTAGTTTTATTGGTCATAGACACAGCCTGTTAGCTTTATGACCAATTATGATGGCTACTTGGTCAAAGACAAGGATCAAATCAGCTAAGAGTTCAATAAAGAAATTATTTAGAGTTGTTATTGCCACCTTCAGTAGAAATCATACAGGCTAGCCAGATTAACCAACTTATGATCTTGAAGGTTGAACTAATAATCACAAATTTTCAAATGTCGCAATTATTTTTCATTACCCCTTTAAGAATTTGTTTTAAACAACAGATAATAAAAAGTATAAAAACCTATCTTTTGAAGATTTTAAATAGTGGTTTTTTGATTAACACACAAAAGATAAACATTTCAAATATACTTTAACATTTATTCCAAAGATTTCAGTAATACTGTAAGCTTTAACTAGTGATTTTAGTTATGTTCAAGCAGTGCTAGTTATCAATCACTTTCAGTTTCATTCAGCAAAATTTGTATGAGTGATTCACCAGTATCGACATGTGGCGTTTTAAATGTTAATGCAGTGGAATGACACATTATTCAAAGGAAGCATCACAGAAATAAAATCACGTAATGCCTTAACTGAAAATATAAATTCTGATATGGTACATTACCTCCTCTCACATAAATAGCTATTCTCATTCAGTGCTGCCCTCTATATGCAAATTGACTGATTCCAATGTGTCTTTCATGCAAATCATCATGCGAAAACCATCCACCAATAAGAATGCAACATATTCACTAGACACGTGACTCCCTCTATTCCATTCTACCAAACTATCACTTCTCATTTGGCAGAAGTCGTGTTGTAACATTTAGTTTGTGCTCTCTTCAAGTATTTTCATTTTTCTGTATCTTTGTATTAATTTCTCTCAACATGTTTAGTCTTTATTATACAATAGTGATATCTGTAACTTGTTCAGCTATTCAGAAGTGGAATTATTTTATATTTCTACCCAATTATGGAACTTGTTACCTCATTACAAAAACATTTTATTTGTTTCTGCCAAAACAGTTGAGTTTGGTTATTATTTTGCATTATGAATTCTACATTACCATTTTGGAAGTTATATGTTCTATTAGCACATTTACGCAGGCTTCAGATCGAAATACTCCATGGGAAGATTTTCAGATTTACTTCATCAGGAAACTGATAATCCAATGAACTGATCTTCGTCGGGCCTTACCTTAAATTTGAGAGCCCTCACATTTGGACATACTGTCCATCGACTTTGGAAAGATAAGACGTTATATTGTTGTGGTTTGTGTTCAGGTTAGAAATTAGGCTTAGTTGTATCCTTTCTCCTATACCACTGATACTTAGGATCTTTGTTATTTTAGGATTACCTGTAATTCATCGTACTGGTATATCAATCATTCATTTAACTATATTGTTTTTCTTCCGAAACGGTACTGCCTTTGCTACCCCCATAGCTATCTCGACCTTCGTTTGCCTTCTAGGCATTGGTAAACTTTTTGAAAGTGCACCACACTTTTATACCTCTA